CAAGAACTTATAGATAAATTCGGTTGTGGTGGAAGCGGTAGAGGGGGGAGCCTGCTTGAAGGTAAAATCGAAGCTAAACCGTTAAACATTTTTGTCCAGAAACTCCCCCCTGGGAGTAACAATTACAGGCACCCAGTTGATTCTGGCGATCGGCTCGAGCTAGTCGTGTTCCCTGCTTCAACTGTGAAGATGGGGAAGCATCGAAAAAAGCATAAATCTGAGCGGGAAAAAGGTACGTAATAGTTTTTTTTGATAATTGTGGCGGAGTGTTGTTTAGAGTCATGTTCAGAAAGGTATGCGAATTCATGTGTCGGATGTTAACATCAAGAGAAATCTTCGAGCAGCAATTTTGAATTCGGTCGAATTATTACTTGAAATTCCAATCCTTACGAAATTTTTCACGTACTCTCTGCTGATCTCTAGCTGTCACGTGCGATGATTTACACATGTGCTTTACGTACAAGTGCATTATTGAGTTATATGGCGGGAATTTTTAAGAACACGAGAGAAGTGCCTAAAGACCCTCAAATGTGCTCTGTTCTGTTATAAAACACACAGGAAGCGGCGAGAGCACGAAAGAAAGTGTAGGGGAAACACGAGCCGATAGGGGAGTGTTTTTTTCCCAACTTCTTCTCCAAGTTTCTTTAGTTGTTTCATGATAAAATATATCATTTTCCTCACAAAATTTGCTTTTATTTCAAAACAAACTTAGCGGATGGCGTGAGCATTCGTGAGCTTCCGCGCTTTGTAATCTCATAAGTACGCGCGCGCCACGTTGTATCAACCAATCAGAACGCGTGTTTACATTGGTACTTTATTATGAAACTCGATAAAGCACGTGCGTGACTTTGGGCGCGTACTTTGGGGCTCGAATTGACCAACCAGAGCGCGCGTTATATGACCAAAATTTTATAAAAGCAAACTGAAATGCTGCCCGAGGAGTTATCTGAGTGCTTGTGGACTCAAAGAACGAAACTAAAATTGAATTCATTGCCAACATCATACAGAATAGATATGACTATACCGTCTTTGTTAATTTCCTTTCTGACCACGATCCCTGGTTTAGGTTTAGTAATACAGTTGAGTAAATTTCATTATATGAAGCCGGGTTTGATAGTGAATTTTAAGACCGGATAATAAATGTTTATTATTGTACATGTAATTATAAAAACAACGCTTTTTTAAAGCGCTGAATGTTAGTAATTTGCACGGCGTTTTGTCAATTTTAGATGCATTTCCAGCAATTTCAGAAGACGTAAATTAAAAAATTTTCCAGTGGACCATGCCCCCGGACCCCTAGTTGGTTCATGTGTACACGTTCGCATTAGCCCGCACTCAAAATTATTGCTGCGCGGGCCCTGAATGTAGCTAGAAAATAAGAGAAAGAAATGAATTTTTTAACAGGTGATTTCAATTTGAATATGCAAAAGCACCAACCTTCTATTCCTACTACTTTTGGTTCTGTTAATGTTATAATCGTTTGAATGAGAACACTTCGTCAGATAAGCTTCATTGTTGTGGATTACTGCGGATTACTGGACTTCAGAGACGCCCTCTTGTCAACAGGTACGCCAACAAGTTTTAAAAATAATTTAATCGACGCAGTAGGAACTCAAGTTTTTAGTTATTAAAATGTACATTCTGATATATTGAAAAGAAAATGGTACAGTATGTTCTTTTTTCAAAAAGACGACTTCGTAATTTAATAGCAGAATCTGCTATCGAAGTACGAAAAAAAACCAGAGCTAAAAGCTTTGGGAATCCGGAATCTCGGAACGTTTGGAATCCGGAATCCATAGGCATGGAATCCGGAATCCAGTCATTGGAATCCGGAATCCACGGTGCGGAATCCGGAATCCAAGACCTTCTTGGATTCCTTTACATGGGGCGACCTGTACAGTCCTGCACGGTCTGCACAGTCTGCGTGGTCTGCACGGTCTGCAGTCTGCAGTCCGCACGGTCTGCGTTTTGGCTTTGACCGGCTGGCTGTACAGTATCGATTTGCCTGCAATTTGTTTCCATATCTGTGTTCGTGCCGAATACATTCATTTGTTTGGCATTTCTTTCAGGTGTTCCCTGAGTTTTCTCTTGTTCTAGGAGTTTATATTTTGCTCGCGCAAGCCAACATACAGGCTCGGCTTGTGATTAGTGTGACTTGCACAGGAGCTATTACGCTCTCACAAGCCAACATTCAGCGGCTTGATTGGTGCGGGTTGGCACTACATATAAACAAGTCATTGTACTTGTCATAAGAGGAGTCATTGTACTCGCAAAGAAAAGTCGTTGTACAGTACTTGTCTTGAATACATCTGAGTTGAGTCATTGTTACTGACGAAACTGCTGTCGGTACTACGGGAAGCTGGTTTGCTTGTCCAACTCAAGATCAAAAGTGAGTATGGGGATTAAAAATACTGTGTTCGTAATCAGGCATGATAAATATAAAAACTGGTGTTGACGCTGATTAAAAAGATTCGGTGAAAACGTTTCGGTCACAAGAGCCATGAAGCCGATCAAGAAGTCACACGTAATTTTGTCCTACTACCCTATGCCAAAGGCATTTCTAAAAAAAATCGCAAGAATGTTGAGCCAACACAACATCAAGGTGTCGCACAACCCCACACGCACTGTCGGCTCCTTCTTCAAGAGACCCAAAGACAAACAAAGCAAAGAGAATACAAGGGGCACTGTTTACAAAATCAAGTGTAACGATTGCACCGCTGTGTAGGCCCTAAAAGGAAATGTTGCATACCGTATTTCCTCGAATAAGCGCCCACGCTCTAATAAGCTCCCTCCCCCGAATAACCGCCCACCCCTCGGCCAAAATAGGAAATAAGACCCGTCCTCTCCCCCTCACTTTCTTAAATAGTAAGGATATCACAAGAAAAGGCCTGTTTCTATTTCCATCTGTACGTACAGTGTATACCGGGACTATGGTATTCACATAAGAAAGTTTAACAAACGAAAAACATTAATGTTTATTACGGTTGTAGATTTTTTCCATAATTTATGAAGAATGAGCCAAAATAAAGTTACGTTGGTTGAAAGAAAAACTTAATAAGCGCCCCCCCCCCCCCCCCCCCCCCCTACTGACTTCCTCGAAGACAGTAAACGAGCACAGATTTACAACATTGCACCTGGAGAAGGAAGTATATCTCTGAGTATATTTAGAGACAATATATGTTTAGGTAAAAAAGGCCAGAAAATGAAGAAATACTTATTTGAAAATAAGAATTGCGAACGTCTGACCAAAGAGCTGCTATGTATGTTGAGAATATATTTTTCAAAACTAAAAAGTTGCCAAATGAAGATTCTTCTAGGAAAATCTCAAATAGCTTTAAGAAAATGTAAGGGAAACAACAGAACTCTGACAGCTGGTCAATTAAATCAATCATAAACAATTAAATCAATCAATCAATCAATCAATCAATCAATCGATCGATCGATCGATCGATCAATCAATCAATCAATCAACCAATCATATGCCATAACAACCGCAACCGGAAGAGAGCTGAGGCGTAACAGATCCCACATACGGGAGGCCCCTCGGAACAACAATGAAGAAACCGAACCAGACTCGGATGGACAAATCATGGTCCAAGCCCCACCAAACCCAGCCTCCCATGTTCCAGACCCTCTAGAGGAACAAGTTTCCACACCCCCAAATAATTATGTAATTCGCAGTAGCAGGATCACCAAGCCCCCCGGGAGGCTGGACATGTAATTTGTTGAACAATGTTGACTTTACAATAGGAACGTTTTTGATATTGACTTGTAGTTTTTGTACCTCTGTTCAGTTAAGTCGTGTATTCTAACCTCACCTCATCAGGAGGAGAGGGATGTTTATGATACTAGGCCAGCGTATCATATGCACTTATTTTAACGCATACGCTACCGAAAACCATCATGCGTAGTGAACCTATGTAACCATGCCCGCCATCTTGCTTGAACATTAAAAGCAATGAAGAAGCTTATGCCTCCAGTCTAATACACCGATAACTAGTGATATTACAACGCCCTTTTAACAAACCTTACTGTAATATCTCAATTCGGCAGGAATACATTACTTTTAAAGCAATTTAAAACATTCAAAGCGACCTGGTGACGTGACCAATGACGTCACAACAACAAAGTCGCCAAAAGAGTGTACTTCACATGAAAATCTATTCTCATGTAAATTTTTGTTGCTGTATGCCTTACAGTCGATGAGATATGGCTAGTACCCAGTCCCCTCTCTTTTTCTTCTCGTACGTAGGTTGTGTTTTCACTAGGCCGATTTACTAGCTGAACATTCTTTTTAGGTGTTTTGTTTACAGACCGACTTTTACTAGTGAAACGTGACTAACTGTTTTCCACGTAGCGCAGAGCTGTACGCGTGTAGCAAACGCAACTCAGGCGGATTTTTGGTCTGATCTTTCACGCCGCCGAGAAATATCGCGGCAGGGTTAAACAACAAGCGGAAAATCCGTCTGAGCGTTTGCAGGATACAGCGAGTCTTTCGGATAAGCGACGTGAAGCAGTGCTACTGAAACGGGAAGCGAAGTGGATGAAAATGTTTATCGTAATACACGAGGCGAAGCAAAATCAACCAACAACGAAAATAATACGCCTTCGTTTCGAGCGAAAACAACTAAGGAAAACACATTTTTATTATCTTGCATACTAATTTTATGAAATGAACATGATCATCGCAGTTGTGAATGCAATTTAAGCAATTGCAATTTTTAAGCCAGAAACAAATTCTGGCTTCAACTGGATTTGAACCCATGACCTCGGCGTTACTAGTGCGTTGCTCTACCAACTGAGCTATGAAGCCACACGTTGGGAGCAGGTCAATTGTGAGTTTATACACCCGTGATAGGAATGAATAATGTGATGATGAATATATGAATGAAATCATATATATATATATATATGAACTGCGGAAATGGAATGAAATGAATATGATCATCGCAGTTGTGAATGTAATTTAAGCAATTGCAATTTTTAAGCCAGAAAACAATTCTTTCTTCAACGGGATTTGAACCCATGACCTCCGCGTTACTAGTGCGTTGCTCTACCAACTACCAACCGTTGGGAGCAGGTCAATAGGATTTGTAAGATGGTCTATCTAACAACTCTTCGAGGGTCTTCTGATGCTGCTCCTTCCAAATAACAGGTTGCGAAGAAGGTACAGACCCATGATTGGAGTGCTGCTTGTTTTTTTCGCACTGATTTGGCTACATCTTCAGCGGTTGCTTGCAATAACTGGAAGAGTGGGAGCGCAATTCTGGATATATCTGCGGTAATATCCGAGGAGACCCAGTAGCTTTCTCACCTCACCTACTGTGCTTGGCTTACTATCTTTCAAAGCTCTCACTGCCTCAACATTTGCTATATCTAGCCTGTAGCCTGCAGCTGAAACAATCTACCTAAGGTACTTTACTTCTTTCTTAAAAAGTCTACACTTCTTTGGTTTAAGTTCCACCCCATGAGCACGCAGACGTCGAAGTACTTGTCGGATGTGATCAACGTAATCTTCAAATGTTTTGCTGAACACGATGATGTCATCAATGTACGGTATACATATTTCATCCCTAAGACCATCGAGACAATGTTCCATAAACCGCTGGAATTTTCCCGGTGCAATTTTCAAGCCCATAGGCAAGCGAACCCATTCGTATAGTCCCCAGGGGGTGACAAAAGCTGTTTTATGTCTACTTTCAGGGCCTACAAAGCCTTGGTGATTCGCTTTCCCTTGATCTAGTAAGAAAAAACCGATGGTGTCCACCAGGACTCTCCAGAGCGTCCTGTATTCTGGGTAGTGGGTGGCTGTCACGCACCGTTTTTGAATTTAATTGCCGATAGTCTATGCACAGTCTTAAGGTCCCATCTCTTTTACGAACGCATACAACTGGGGATGAATACGCTGACCTCGACTGTTGAATCCATACTGCTTAACGTCTGCCGTAAGTGGTCTAGGGATGGAAGTGTATTTTTTCTGAACTGGTATTGAATCGGTGAGGTTTATGTCCACTTGTAATTCCCCTGCCCTGCCAACATCATCATCCGTCATGGAAAATGACTCTGCTTCCTCCTCAAGCATTTCCCTGACTATGATTCGCTGTTCCTCAGAGAGTTCATCAGTGTCAATATCCGGAATGTTGCATGGCTGTTCTTTGGTCTTTACTTCTTCTGCTACCTTTCCTTGTTCTTGACAACTGCTGTCACTGCCATTACTAGCACCATGTCCTTGGGTACCAGCTTTTGAAGAATCCACAACAGTGGGTACGGGAGTTTCCTTCAATTTCACCTCAAGAGGAGTGACTGACTTCACTTGTTGGAGACGTGCTAGTACCGTCCGTCCTTTTAACGTGAGGTCGTGTCTTGTCGGATTATCCACACGAATATTAACTCGACAGGTGGAGCCCCCTGCTACAGTAACTTGTGTCTCTGGGATCTCAAGACCAGTAGGCCAAGATGGGTTTGGATCAAATTCAAACAACACTGGTATCTTACCACCTGGACCCATTGCTGTGCGGCATGAAACAAGAACTGACTGTCCTTGTGGAATTACAGTGTCCTGCTTTCTCAATTTGACTGTAGACAACTCCTTTGTAGTTTCTGTCTTGACGAATTGTACAAGGGCCTCCACTTTTCCTCTTTTAACGCCTTTCAGACTTGATGCAAGCACATCCACCATTGATTCTTCACTGCTGGTTGAAACACAGCCCTCAGAATTCGTGGTGATCTCCTCGATGACATTAAACCCTACTATGGGCATATCCAGGGAATCTTTAGCAACCAGAAATGGTACTTTGATATCAGGTTGGGAATTCTCTTTAATAAGACTAAAAGTTAGTTCTACCCACCCCTTATAGGGTAAGTCAGTTCCGTCCGCTGCCTTCAAATCAAGCCCATCCATGCCCAGCAATTCTGCTATATCTCGAACATTGCATTCTGGTAGACACTGCTTCATCCAACTGTGTGAAATAATTGATACTTGAGCTCCCGTATCCCAGAGGGCCTCAGTTTCAATCCCATTGAGCAAACACCTCACTGAACATTTCCGGCCAACAAGACCTGCGCATGCTCTCGTGGCGATAAATGGCTCACAAATGTCTGCGCCCTTTCTCTGTCTTCTTGATACTTCTTCTCTGCCAAAGAAGATATGGCCTGACAAAGTGACTTATGCTCCCTCCAATGTTTTTGTTGACATCCGTGGCAACAATATCTCACAGCTTTGCAATTACTACACTGCTTAAAAGGGTATTACCCTCTTTCTTTCCACAGACCTTGCAGGCACGGGACGTGGCTTCCCCGGCTACACCCTGTCCCGTGGATGCAACCTCCTCTCGTTTCCCGAACCATAACCTTTTCCACATCTCCTTGCAAAGTGTTCATTTGAGCCACATTTGAAGCAGTGGACACACCTGTCCACACCGGCCGAATAGCATGCATTACACTGGCGACGCTGAAACCGCGACTGGCCAACTTGCTCATATCGCTGAGTGGTACTTTTCTCTGCTGGGGTCTGGGACTTGTCAAAAGCCTCCTTCAGGGAAAGCAAGGTTGGATTGTACTGCTTCCAATGCTGTAACTAAACTGTTTGGCTTGGTTTCCTTTTTCTGAGATTTGCCACTCTCACTCTGCGATGCTTGACCTAAATGAACCCGGGTGGGGTCACTAGGTGTTGGAGAAGTTTCAACATGGTTAACCCGTAGACCTTTTTTTACCAGCCACACCCATCTTATTCTGACGTTCCATCTCTGCGGACATAATCTGATTAATCTTCTCCATGAGTTGTTCATCAGTTACAGTAGCTTTCTCAAGAAGAGGGCGCAATTTTGCTCTAACAGCCTCATCCTGTAACCCGGTTTCCAGCACATGGAGGAATAAGGCCTGAACCAAAGATGGCTCGTACTTGATAGGACTATCACTCGCATTTGACACAAATATAACCTGCTGTTTCAAATTCATGGCCCGGACTAGGAAATCATGTGGGGATTCATTTGTTTCTTGGCGTGAAACAGACAGTTCCTGATACAGTTCAGTTCCTGACTTTTGCTTGAAATGGGCTTTCATGATTTGCCGCAAACGAGTTAATGATAAATCCGGTATCATTTCAAGTATACGATCTCAGCTGAAGACTAGGACTTACAGCTCGAATCACTGCTTCGATAATCTCACTTTCTTTGCAACCCGCTTTAATCCCTGCATCAATCTGTCGAGCCAGACTTACATATGAAAGCCCATCTTTATAATTATCTCCCGCCACGACTCCATGAATGTTAAAATCCCGCTTCAGCACTTTACTGATATCAACATTTACCTTCGTTTCTTTTCCAGCGCTTCCTCTGTGCCTTTAATGACTGATCAGGTAACTCATTCTTCACGGTCACTTGTTGTTTTCCCGCACTAGCTTCATTCTTGAGTGGCGGTGGCTTTCCATTCACGAAGGCAACAAGGCCAACCAGCAATGTTTTCTTGTCCTCCGCTTCGTCTAAATCTCGTTCTATTTTCTCGCGGATCTTCTTTGACAGCGCCAATTTTCGAAATTCCTTGGCATCCACTTGCAAATGTCCCGCCAATTCCACGAGACCATCCAAGCCAAGACCACAGATCTTTGATTCCAGTTGAAGTTCCGCGGCCATCTTTGCTTCGCGAAGATAAACAAACTTGATCAACACAGTTATGGAATCCGGCCTTGCTTCGCAGTCAGAACATTTTCATCAACACGGTCGTCCTGGCGGAGTCGCCAAATGTTAGTCCCGGTTCTCCGCTTTATAAATACGAGAATGTAGTTGAAAACAATCCTTGTTCAAGTCACTTTTTATTTTCTCTTCCGAACCCTCGTGGTCTCTCGATGGCGCAATAGTCACGTGATTACCATACTATGGGGGTGACCTAAGTACATTTCGCCACACTGAGGTGGGGAGAAACATCCTCCCTCCTGAAAAATAAATTGTCCATCCCTAATGACAGTTTAATACTTGCATTTAACATAGCAAAAACGTTGATTTGTATTTTGAAACGAAAAGAGCTTTGTGACTGATCTATAAAAATTGTTCAGTAAGGCTATGTCAGTGTTATTATGCTTTGTAAGAATATATTATTCAAGTTTGGTAGAAATAGTAACAACTGTTGAGAAATATCTTAATTGAAGATATAATTTAGCACATGAACATTTGAGATTGACCCACATAATTGTTAAAAAAATAATGTTTACAACCGTTTGGGTTATGATTGATTGCAAAGCTTAAATATTTATTCCTTTGAAAACTTGGTATTACTAATTAAGCCAACAGAACACTCCTCTTGGGTGAAACGCGCGGTGAAATTAAAGCGCTGTTATATTGGATTTGTCAGACTGTATGGGCTTACCATTTTCCAACCGTGTTTGATTGAATGATGAATTTGACAAAAGAAAAATAATTTACACCTTGATGCACTAACCTTCCTAGAGTGACCACATCATATTTCTCCTAACAATATTAACATGTTGTGAAGCAGATATGTGATGAGAATGAAGAAAATCATCAACTCGTAGATATTATCTTGTTTTAGCCCATAATGATAATCTAACCTCTTTCTCATTCAGCCGAGAGACATGTTACTGAATAAACACAGATTGATCCCAGACTAAATTATTTGACATCAAACAGTTGTAAGTACTTCAGAGGTACAGTCGAACCTCTCCTTACGGACACCTCTCTATACGGACACCTCTCTATTACGGACAGTTCCCTTGGTCCCGGCAAAATGCCCATATATTCTCGGAAAACTTCTATAATACGGACCCTCTCTAATACGGACAACGGACACTACATGGACACTAAATCTCGGCCCCAGAGAGCAAATTCATATAAACTTAACCTCTTTATTGCGGACACTCCAGTGATAACAGTTCATATTCAACAAATTTCTTGTTGGTGGTTACAGATCAAAGTTAATCAATTGCCCCATTGTCCATACAATAAAAGTAGCATTTGTTTTTCAATCAGTTTATCGCTACGTTATCGCCATTTATCATCGACATTTCTTAAGGTCAGTAGAACCTTAAAGTGACGTCATATTCATGACCTCTATAATACGGGACACCTCT